ACTGCTGCCTTGGGTATATTTGACCAGACTGTTTGGGTCACTGCTGCCTTGGGTATATTTGACCAGACTTTTTGGGTCACTGCTGCCTTGGGTATATTTGACCAGACTGTTTGGGTCACTGCTGCCTTGGGTATATTTGACCAGACTGTTTGGGTCACTGCTAGCCTAGTTTATATGGAACAGTGACAAGGGATTTGTACTCCGGTCCCTATGTAATTATGATGCCGTTTTGTTATATCTAGTTAAATAAACTACCTCTAAGAGAATTGTATTGTGAAGAAAATCCATTATTACAACAGTTACCAGTACATTCCATCCAAGAAGAGGAAGTCCTTTCATTGAAGGTATTATTTTATATATTGCATATATTTCTTTCATTTTCACAACGATTTCATATTTTAATACTCCAGTAATTTTGATTCAGAATCAGTACTGATTACAAAATCCTTCTCAAAAGACCCGTACATGTAGCTTGTGTACATACTATTGGTTACTCCATCCCACGGGTACAAAAAGGGACAGCTAAAAGAACAACACAAGACAGCCGAGAAATGTGGTGGGCAATATTTTTAGAGGCTGACACAAGTTACCTGGGCAGTTGAAAGATAATGGCACTTTACACTGCAAGTTTGAAACACAACTGCGCCAAATAATGTTTGGAACATTCAAAATCTGTCCTTCTGGTGTGTTGCCCTCCAGTCATGCAGAAAGGTATTTGTATTTCCCAGAACATTTTGAACCTGTTATTATTTTCCTCGATAAACTAACCCCTCTGTATATGATATTATTACAGGAGATAGTTGCCAGGTACATACTGAGAGAATTGAAAGACAGGTATGTACAGATTGAAAATAATAATAATGTTATGTTTTACAGCAGGCAACCTCTCACTGCACAATCCAAACTTTATATACTTGCAGCATCGGTCCATACAAAATCATATCAGGAGTGCTAGTCCAGGTAGAAAGATTTAACCAGTGCTTTATTGAAGGCATTAGGCTGATGTACATGTACATGTTTTTCGCACACAAATTGTATAAGTATTATAAGGGAGCATTCAACCAGTACTTGTAATAAAGATTCGGGGGGGGGGGGGGTCTGCGATCTCTGATGGCTTTCTAGTTTAGTCCTGATTACTTTCAAAGTTTGACCTATATATGTATAACCTAACTTTGAATATACCCGGTAGATCTTTACCCATATAGAAAAGTATTTGTGCATATATTTGTTGGGGTATACCGTACAGTTTTTCTATTTTCTATGAAACTGTTTTGATACATGACATGATACTAGACTGTGTTGTATATTTCTTGGAGTCATTTGTTCTTACCAAGAAATGTGCTATACAAATGCACCAAGCTGTGTTTATGCATGTTCATAACAATGCACATGTTTTACTAGTTATCACAATGTTTTTTATGAAAATCAATCTTTTATCAGGTGGTCATACCTCAGGAAAGCAATAAGACACTACCCTAATGTTCGTGATATGCTGGGCCAGGCAAGTAAATGTGCATTGTGTGGTGAAGCATTCCTTAATACGTGGTTGGAGTGTGTCAAGTTTGTGGATGCTCACAAGGTAAGGGCGAGCTTATTTCTATTTATTAATCTAACTTCATTGACAAAAAAAAGATTGAGAATATGGAGCTTTTGTATGTCACATACCATGTTGTGTTGTTGGAATAATCCAAATAGTAATAACTGCCAACTGTAACCTTGCTACTACTTGTTTTCATTATTTCAGAATAAGAAATTCAATAAGGCAGCCCCAGCCTTCCCTCCATAACAAATAGGTTGTGGACCCTCTGGTTAGAAATATGTGTATTATAGGATGCATTGGTAACATAATTTGTGTAAAAATACACTTATAATATCAACATTTTATTATATTTTTTGTCAGGAATTGAAGACAAACAATTCAACAGGTGTGGTTCCAGTCAGAGCTTTACTATGTTCATATAAATGTTTCAACAGTCCTGGGCATGACTTCTATGGAGTAGCATTCCCGTGACCATTGCTTACATTGAGGAAAACATCAGTATAGTTGTGAAGACTATGTACACTGTCAGCATTATATACAGAGAACTAACATATTACGCAATCCATCCTTACGTTATCTACAACATGTGCAAATTATAAATACAAGATTACAGCTTCTATAATTATTGCTTATTTGTTCCTGCAATTACCTTGACAGTGTTACCGTAGTTTGGGCATTAGATTAGAATTACAGCTTAATTCAACTTAACAATAATTTTATCAATTTGTGTAAATAAGTCGCATCATATGACTGTAAAATAAAATCACATTTATTAATTTTGCTTTTATTCAAAATGACAATTTATCAGTTGAATCAGTCACATGACTGCCATTTTAATGTGTGTATATAAATATATCAGTGTTTACATTGTAAATGTAATTGTACAGATTTGGGATGTGGTATATTATGTTTCAACTTAGATGGTGAATATACTGTGCTAACTTTTTTGTATTTTGCGTCTATTCACATGTTCTATTTTTTTATGTCTGGCTTTTATTTCTCGCTAATTTTATATTTTCTGAAGGTTTAATAACCTTATTTCTAATTCTAATTTCTGTCTTACTGGAAATCTATTAAATGCATATCAAGTAGTTTTTCTTTCTAAGCAACTGTTATTCGTGGACAGACAGAAACATTTTGTTATTCAATAAAACAAAATGTACATAATTGTTACCTCACTGCTCATGTTTATTAGTATTGTCTTTTTAAGACAACTCCAGCTTAATAACTCTAGCCTAATCCGTCCATTATCTTATACCATTACTTGTACACATTGTAAGATATTGAATATTATGAAGATAATAAAAATTATCATATTATGTTAAATCAACAATGTAGTCTTGTATCATACAAATGGGAAAACCTTAATTGCTCCAATTTTACAAGCAGCATGGGCGGGGACAATATTCTCATATGCGAGTGTGTGCAACTTGTACTAATTAAAATTGCCAATTTACCCAAACTTGTCAACATTCATATTTTGTAAAAAAGACCAGCATGCAAGGAGTTTCTCACTTTTGTATTTGTGAACTGTTTAAACTGTAAACAAGATTGTTCAACAGAAACTTGATATAATCATATTAACTACTGGTATTTGTGTTGTAACATTACTGTTTAAAAAACAATTGTAACCACTTGATGCGCTGGTGGATGAAAGTATAGGCCACCAATATTATCAATTGAGTCCTTGTATTTATATAAACAAGCAGCCTGTCGGCTGAGATAGCTCTGCTGTTAGCAATGCACATTTCAATTAAAGAACAGAAGATATCATTAGAAAATGAACAATATTTTCAACAAGTTTTCAAAAATATAATTTTTAACCATAAATTACAAAAATATTCATCAAAATTAGAGAATTGAAGATATCATCATGAAATGAAAAAATTTGAAAGTGGTCCATATGTAGTATCTATATATGTAATATCAAAGCAATTGGACTTGTAGTTTTTAACAAGAAGTCGAAAATATCACTTTTTACCAAAAATATTTACCAAAATTAGAGATATCATTACAAAATGAACAAATCTGAGAGAGGTACACATGTAGTACCTATATACGTAATATCAAAGCAATTGGACTTGCGGTTTTTAACAAGAAATCGAAAATATCACTTTTTACCAAAAATTACAAAAATATTCACCAAAATTAGAGAATTGAAGATATGATCATGAAATGAACAAATCTGAGAGAGGTCTACCCAAGGTACATATTCACCAAGTATCAAAGCATTAAGGCTTGTAGTTTTCAATAAGAAGTCGAAAAAGTAAAACATTTCCACGGACGGCGGACAATCACTCATATGATAAGCTTCGCCCGACAAAGTCGACAGCAGAGCTAAAAAAGTTAGTACATGTATGTCATATATTAAAAAAATGTTATAACCAGAAAATATCAGTAAATAGAATTATTCTAGTTGTCCAAGAACTATTCAGGTCTGCACATTATAGAAGAATTGTTATGTACCAAATTCATTGAAATAAGACAAGTGGCAGAGATATTGATGAAAAAACTGACCATTATGCAAATCATGTAATTAATATGCACAGATTTAAATGAAAAAACTAATAAGGTCTGCGCAATGTCGCATACCATGAATGTATGAAGTTTCTTTGAAATTTGATTTAGTACTCCAGATATCAGTGGAAAAGCCAAAATTTGACTATGCAAATTAGTAATTAATATGCATGAATTTAAACCAAAAACCTAATCAAATCTGCATATTAGCTAGGAGCATCTATTCATCAAGTTTCACCAAAAACTAAGCAATGGTTCTTGAGATATCAGTGGAACAGGAAGACACATACAGATGAATTTAAACTGCAAAGACTCCCATTGTGGGCTTTGCACACAAGTCAAAGACCACCAGGTGACCATTTCAGATCCAATCTGCTAAGCAAAGTGATGTGCATTAAGATCTTGAAATATCCAACACAAGTTTTAAAAAAATTCGCCAGAACACAACGGCCAGTGGTGAAATTTACAAGTTTCATTTTAGGACTTTGTCCGAACAGGAACTAAATATTAGAATATAGACAAATCAAAATGTTAATATGCAATTTTGTATATGTATATACCAAATTTACCGAATGAAAATAATGAGTCGCAACTTTCAAGTAGGATACAAGTTCAAGAGAAATTTGCATTTCTGGAAAACAAATGCACAGTGGTGGAACCAAATAATATTCCCAGTTACTGGACAAATGGAACAAAAAACTAGTAATAAATTAAACAGAACATTTCTATAAAGAAATTGTTTAATAACAGAAAAACTAATACAATTACTACAGAAATTACATTTTTATTAGGTTTATACATTATTAAAACAACTGTTCAGTCAATTCGATGAAACAGCAACTCTGAGACCATTTTCACAATATAAAAACATTTTTATGCGATTCATTATTAATCTAAATGCTATACTGTAAAACTAAAAGGGGTAATACTGGTAACTTTTCACATGATTTTACAAATTCAATAATAAAGTAAAGTAATTCAATAAACAAGTAAAGCTAGAAGTATATATCATACATTTTTGTGTAAGATAATGATAAAAAAGACTTAATGTATAATCAATTGGTGGAGTGCTACGCCAGTACCAACATAAATGACCAGTATGAAGACTGCTGCCAAGATCTTGTAGTATATACAAATAAATACTAGGTTCATTTCATGTACAAATTATTGTTGATCACAGAATCACACATTCAATAATACATGGCAAGACTTTAATAACATGGAAATCAATGTTTTGTACTAATACATTAACTGTGATTTAATTAGGTAATACATATTTTGTCTTGAAATGTAAACATTTCATGTTTGCACATCAAGAGTGATACATGTAACTTTATTGATGATGATGAACATGGTTTAAATTCTTTGCACATGTAAATAATCTCACACCATTATCGCCCTTTGCGAAACTTTCCGCCGCCAGTCTTGGTTTTTTTCTTCTGTGCCGAACCTTTGCTATCTGTGCTCTGTGGAGGAAACAATAAGTTACATATCAAATAACATTGATTTTTGGTGAATGACTACATGTGCTTATAAATTATACATGTTCTAGACCATAAGTGAGGATGGTTTTATTTACCCGCCTGAGACCAAAAAGGTTTTATGCTATTTTTAGCCTTCCCAATATGCCTTGTTTGAATCTGACTGGCCAAACTTTTCAAAGAAAGGTTTAAGTAATTACATTATTATTGATTTTGTTGATCATTTTACACTGGTTTTGTTTATAGGATTTACAGTTATTAGCTTGCGTAGAAATGCCAGATTGAAATCCTTATAACTATCAAAAACGGAGACTTATTTTCACTTTTGTGCATCTAAGACATACCTGATTCAATTACGCTTAACTTCACACACAGACATATCATACATACATAAGGACATAAGTTTGTTTGTGGTAACATTGGAAGCAGGAAAAGGCAGGTAGAAAAAAAAAATTTCTTCTTCCAATGTATCCTAACATAATGGCATCAGCAAAAGTGCTTGACGTGATTGATACAGTGCCTTATATTAATCATTGTTGTGAAACATACCTTTCGTTTGATAGATGGGGAAGCCATTACTGAAAAGAAACTATCCAGCCTTCCCTGTGTTGATGTATGTCTTGCTTTCAATAGTTTCTTTGCACCATTTTTTATACGATCCTCACTGCAAACAGATGTGTAATATTTCAGAATGGATACAACACATAACGTGTACATACTCAAGGATGGAAAAAACTATTGTAATCAACAAAGTAATTCCGAATTGATCCTAAATTAGTCAAGATATGTAGAGATTTTTCAATCAAAATGGTTGAAAAATTAATGTACAATTGCATCTGAGAAATCTCAAAATATTGTTTATTTGCACAAATTTTAAGACCAAATTAAAATTAAATGTAATTTGCCTCAAACTTTTAATAATTTTGTTTCAAACATAGATCCAGAAAACAAGTGGTCACAGACAATATTTTCTAGAAGCTCTCATTGAAGTTTGAACAAATTTTGATCAATTTGTTTGCACAAGTGTGTTCGGAGGAAGTACATCTCTAGAGATATTTAGACAAAGTCTGAAAATTTGTACATCATAGATATGTTGTGAGCAAGTTTGTAAAATGATATTGACGACAGGAATTTATCTCCCAGAATGCATTCCAGTTTCTATTGAAGTTAAGGTAGAGATGCAGTTTATTTGTGAATTTCAATCAAAAATAGTTTTTTTCGTTTTTTATATAGATTTTTATCTAAAGAACATTCTGTGAAAATTTGACCAATGAATTCTTATTGGAACACCATTAAAATTGCTGTTTATTTTCTGGTTAAAAATAAAAAAACACTCACACGTGGTAATGTTTATGCCCAATTGCCTAATTTGCATGAGTAACCAAATAACAGGACCTTTGATTGACAATATGCAAACGGAGATTGTACGGGTCGTAGTTCATTCAATTCACGCGCATGTGCAATTATTCTCAAACCAGTTCTCGCTCGCTAGCAAACCAAACATATTTCCTCAGCATTTTTTCCTAATTTTTATCATTACATTATGCGTGGTGTGAAAAGAAAGAAAGGTAGAAAGAAGATTCAGATGATTTCTATGTCGGAACATGGACGTACTAGAGTACGTCCATGGTCGGAAGAGGCAAAAGCTACACTGAAGGCATCAGCCCATCGAACGAAAAACAAAATCGATGTGAGCGTCCAAACATGACTTTCCCTGAAGGCATGAATCCGAGTTTCTGATTGACTGAGAGATTTTATTTTTAAATAATTGTTCTCAAAAAATAAACTGAGCATGTGAAGAATAATTTAACATTGTTTACAGTGATAACTGCTCATTGTCGAAACGAAGCTTACCCATTCACGCTAGTCACAATTAAAAACCTCATACTCTTGAATAAGCGTCAATGACTACGGTAAAACTTAGAAAATGACGCCAAAATACACCTTAAAAGTCCCATTTTATTTTTTTCCTAAATCCCATCCCGAATTTACGACAGAATCTGGTCCCTCAAATAAGGGACACGCGAGTTTTGATTCTAACCGGATATATTGCACTGGGTCGGGGAGATACAAACTTTTGTGTATCTTTTGTCCAATGGGTTTTGCTAGGTGGTGCGAGACAGCTTTGTTTGCAACCGGCCGAACTCCGTTTAATTCAATGAAGCAAACAACTGACAATGCTA